GCATGGGCTGGCCGGGTGCCGGTGGCGGCGCCATCAGGCCGCTCCCGGGGATCGGGCCGGACCGCGAATCTGGCCGGCCCGAGGCGCTGAGGGCTACGCTTGGTTGCCGCGGCCGTGGCTGGCTCATCATCGCCGGGCTCGAGGTGGCGCCGTGGGGCGCGGGCGACTGCGATGCGTGCATCGCCATCGCCGCCGACGGCGAGCCGTGCTGCGTCGAAGGGGTCATGGGCCTCATCTGATGCGGCAGACCACTCGGCCCACCTGGCTGCTGCTGGTGCTGCTGCTGCTGCTGGAGCTGCTGGAGCTGCTGTTGGTGCTGTTGCTGTTGGAAATGCTGCTGCGCCATGCCTGGCGGCATCATGGGCATTTGCTGCGGCGTCATGGGCTGCGGCGGCTGGCTCGGATGCCCGCCTGGGCCGAAGCCGGACGACTGCGCCTGGCCCGACATGGACGGCTGCCGTTGGGCTTTTTGAGGCGCCGGCTGTTGCTGTTGATGTTGCTGCTGTGGATGATGCTGCTGCTGCTGTTGTTGTTGAGCCTGTTGCTGCGGCTGCGGCTGTTGATGCTGCGGCTGCGTCGGGTTCGGCCCACCCTGCGGAATCAGCCCGAGCCCACGCGCCTCGTTGATGGTCAGCACCATGCCACCGTTTGGCATCATCGAGGCGTGCTGGCCGCCCGGAAGGCTCGATGCCTTGAGGAAGAGGTAGCCCATCTGCATCAGGGTGTGGACCGGCGTGATGCCCGAGCCTTCCTGCGCCTTGGCGAGCGCCAGAGCACGCGAGAGGATGGCCTGCTGCTGCTGCGGGTTGAGGCTCGGCGTCCAGTTGGGCGGCACCACCTGGTTGATGTTCTGGGCCTGTCCGCCCCCGGGCGCTTGCTGCATCTGCATCGGCATCGGCTGCCCCGGCTGCATCTGCGACGCCGCCGATCCGCGGTGCGGCTGCGGCTGCCCTGGTCCTTGGCCGTGCATGCCACCAGGATGCGGCGCCGACATCTGTAGCGGGGTGCCTGGCCCTCCGTGGCCCAGGCTGATGCTGGGGCTGCGAGTCTGGCTGCGGGAGCGCTCAAAGGCGGCGAGATTGGCGAGGTTGGGCTGCGACCCCGGAGGGTGGGCGCCGTGCGGCATGTTGGCCATGCCCGAGGGCGAGCTCGTAGCGTTTGGCGGCATCGCGGCCTGCATCACCGGCGTCTGGCCTTTGGTCGTCTTCTTTTCGGCCTTCTTGCGCGGCGGCTTGGGCTTCGCCGCCGATGACGGAGGCGTGCCCGCGGCAGACTGTCCCCCGGGCGTGCCCTGGCCCATGGGCGATGGCATCTGGCTGGGCGTCTGAAGGTACGAGGGGATGCCGTTGATCATCTGCGCCGCGCTGTTGGCCCGCTGCGGCGATGCCATCGGCGCCTGCGACGGTCCAGCTGCGGCGCTGCCGTTGCTGCCTCCGGCGGCCATGCCTCCCATCAGCGCAGAAGGGTCGACCAGACCCGACATCGACACAGCATTCTGGTTCTGGCCAAATGAGCCGGGCTGGGCGCCATTCTGCTGTTGCTGTTGCTGCTGCTGCTGCTGCTGTTGCTGTTGCTGCTGATGGAAGCCCTGCGCCATCGAGTTGAAGCCCTGCATTGACATCTGCTGGCCGAGGTTGGCCACCATCTGCGGGTTCATGCCGCCAAAGGCGTTGGGATTGAATGAGGCCTGCGGGTGCTGCGGCAGCTGCCCCTGTGGGTTCGGTGTCTGCTGCTGCTGCTGCTGCTGCTGCTGCGGTGGCTGTTGCGGCGCCGTCAGGTTCGTCTGGTTGGGCATCCCCCCAGATCCGGGGAACATGCCGTTGTTAGCCATCTGACCCAACATGCCCTGCAAGGACTGCTGCGACTGCTGCTGAGGCTGCTGCTGCTGCTGATGTTGTTGCTGCTGCTGCTGCTGCTGCTGCTGTTGCCACCGAAGCTGCTGCTGTTGCTGTTGCTGGAGCAGCAACTGCATCTGCTGGAGTTGGGGCTGCTGCATCTGCTGACCGAGCTGGCTCTGCTGCGGCGTTCCTTGCCGCTGCTGCTGTTGCTGGAGAAACATCTGCGGATTGAAGGCCGCCGGATTCATGCCGCTGGCCGCAGCAGCTCGCTGCAGGGCGTGGATGTCGAAGCCACCGGGGTTGGCGCCCATCGCCATCATGGCGGCTGGGTTGAAGCCGCCTCCGCCAAACTGGCCGGGCTGCTGCGGTGGCTGCTGCTGCTGCTGTTGTGGCGGAAGCGACTGCTGCTGCTGCTGCTGCTGCTGCTGCTGCTGCAGTTGCTGGGGTTGGCCGTTGGACATCCCAACGCCGCTCGCCATGCTGCTCATGTCCATGCCGCCAAACATGGCGGGGTTCATGCCGAGCGACGCCACGTTGAAGCCCTTGTTCTGGTCGGGGACGTTGCCATCGGCGTTTCCGGCAAAGATGTTGCCGAAGACATTGTTCTGGAACATGGACGGGTCCATCTTGGGCCAAGTCGGGCGGGACGAGGCTGACGGACGCGAAGCTGCTCGGCTCCCGAGATCAGCAAACCGGTCCGCGGTCCTCGCTCGATGGCCCTAGTGGCGCGTGCGAGGCCGCGACTGCGATTGACGTTGCGCGTCCGTCGTCAGAGAGCGTCCGATCGGTGACGAGTTCGACGGACCTGATCTGCGAGGAGGCAGGCGGCGCGACGAGAGGTGGTAGGCTGGATGGCGCTGTTCCCTCAGGTGGGGTGCATCAGGAGCGACGGCCGCGCTGGAAGGAGTTGACGTGCTGGTCGAGGCGGAGATACGGCGCCGACTGGGAGATGGACCCTCTGGCGCTGCCCAGGATGAGCGAGCCCAAGTGTTGGAAGCGCTGCAGCTGAGGTCTGGCGGCGGCAAGAACCGGCGTGGCCTAACAGCGACGGTCGGCAGGCTCCGCAAGACCAGGCGTGACTGGATGCGAGCCGAGCAGAGCGGCGGAAGACTGACGATCGATGTGCAGAGAGGGCTGGCGGACGCAGCTGCGGGTGCCCTTGTGATGCAAGTCGGTTCGTCGGATCGGATGAGAGCGATCCTGAGCCGGGGTGACGCGAGCCAAAGGTCTGGACGTGTCTTCGAAGAGCCAGGCGGTCACGGAGAGAGGAACGTAGCCTTCCCTGGCCGAGAGCGGCGGCGAGAGTAGGGTTGGCGGTAGATCTCTCGGTGCAGCGCCGCGACGAGGTCGGATGGAGAGACGGTGAGCACGACAAAGGAACACGGATCTATCGAGGCAGCAGATGCGTCGAGGCCGGATGAAGATTGCGGTGTAGCGTCCGGTCGAGTCCAGAGATAATATCGGCGCAAGGAAGGATGAGGACAGTAAAGAGGTCGACGCGAGGAGGGGTGGGCGCGTCGGGTGATGGCAAGGGTGCGCAGGCAAAGTTGTAAAATTGGCACAGAAGGAGAGGTGAAGCCCGAGTCGGAGAGTCCAGCGCAGGACTGCGAAGGTGAGGTGTTGGCGGCGAGGTTCGGCGTAAGGATGGCGGTGATGGTGGTGACGGTGGTGGCGACGCCAGTGGAGGAGAAGATGGTGATGGTGGTGGTGATGGTGGTGGTAGTGGTGGTGATGGCGGGCGGCCGAGCTGCGCGAATGTCCACCGGACGCCTCGCCTCGCCCGTCGACGACGCGCGACGACG